CTACAAACTAAATGGTTTCATTGTCGCTCTGGGAGTAAGTAGATGTTTTTCTGCTAAAAAGTCAAACACCACAACAGTCTCTTCTGTCTAGAAATTATATAGTTGTCCTATATTTAGCTCCATCCATCCAGAAATCAACTCGGAGAACAGCTGTATTCATACTGAGATTAAAATAGCACAAGTGGGCTCTAACCAATTAGGTGAAAAGGTCCCCCCTTATTGGGGTTCTACATGTGTATAATTGTTTACATTGAGACATTTGAAGGAAAACGCACCATGTGAAACTGAAATCCTTCAGGCACAATTCTACTTGACACACTATAGACCGACTTTTGTAAAGCTGCCAATCCAAAAGTACCTTTCATTCTCCTTTGTGCTGACTGGATGTACCACAATGAGTCAAAATTAGGAAGACTGTGGATATTAGCTTCTGTGGTAATTCAAGGATGGATTCCACTGTGCATTAATGCCTATTAAAGTATATTCATGTTCAAACTATTAAAATAGGCTGTTAGACGCAATTTTAGAAAGGGTTTCAAGTATTCAGTGAAATTGGTCATTCGAAGGAGGTTGTGGTATCGTGCTCTACTTTACTGGATTTTATTTTGTAGTGTCACAGTAAAAGCAGCTGGGAAAAAAAGCACATCACACTTGTCATATTCTTACTGGAAAATACATTTTACAATTTTCTTAATCTTTACAATTATACCCTACTTTCTGTTGGCCCGTTGTTACACCACACCTTCAAAAAACAAAACAAAACAAAAAAAAAATAGATGGAACATATTTCCTCTACTTTATCTTGCACAAGTATTAGCAACTGTTTTATGAAAGCAAAACTAAGCTAGAACGTGGGTTTCCTCTAAAATTCACTCACTGTTAGCGAGAACAGAAAACAAAGCTCCAACAGCAAAACAACTCACATTACCCACCTCTAGTTTTGCGCATAATCTGATTAGCTTTTTTTGCACTACTACAGAAGTCCATAATTACATGACTGCACATAGAGGTGGGGAGAGTAATCAAAAACTGTACCTCAAGTAAAAGTAGCACGTAAGTAAAATGTAGCCATTAAAAAAAAAATAACTCAAAAGTAAAAAAGTATTTTTCGAACTTTACTCAATTGTAGCAATACTTCATAATAATATTTCTCAAGTAGAACTAAAACGTTTGCTGTAAAAATACTCCTAGAAGTATTTTTTTTCTTCTAAAAAGTTACTGCAGTAAATGTAACTTTACAAATGTAAATAGTTCCTGCCCATCCCTGGCTGCACATTGCTTTAAACCACGTGGTCTGTGCAGTATTCGGCTCGTGTTTACCCTCGTGCCGGTGAGGACAAAACGCATTGAGGTAGCAAGCTGCTGCTAGCAATATGGCTGCCTCCACGCTCAACCATTCTGACCTCTGCAAGACATTGTAGTGCTCAGTTCGATGGTTCTTTAATTGAGCACTTTGCAGTCATATTTAGGCGTAATACAGTTTATTTAAATCCCCTGATATTATGTATTCAATTCTCAGCTTTATCGCTGTGTAGCCATGGTGGAGCTAATCTAGGTGAAAGGTCATATGGTGTTTTGAATTTAAAAGATACACACAACTAGAACATAACTGGACTCCGGTTTATTTTTTCTATATATGACATCAGGTGATTAGTGCATGCCAATATGCTACATTCTGCTAGCTGGACACGAGATGAATTTGTCAAGTTCCTATAAAAGCTGCAGGGGGCAGATAGAGTGGGGGCTGTTTTGTTTTCATCCGAGTGGTCTGCACACGTGCGGGCTGGACCACTGAAGGTCACCCGATCACAGTCGTGAGCCGACACCTATTTGACAGAGCTTTCCATGCCCGTGACCTTACCCAAAACATCGGCGGTCCTGTGTCGCGCTATGAAGCAGGCGTCATCCCCGTAGCACATCCCTTTTTTCAGGATCCCTTTGCGAAAGTCTTTACCAAAGCCATAACTGGCGGTGATCAGGCTGTAGTCCCGACCGTCTGTCTGAGAGAGTCCGCCCAGGACAGCCCTGGCTACCAGTCTGCCATAAGACAATACAGATAACATCCCCCAGCAAGGAGAATCTCTGTCCTGATTAGAGGCCGAACACGCTGTTCCTTTCTTTCTCTCTCCAACCAGCCCGACCACCTGCCTGCAAGTCCTCTGATCACCGGCTGTCCGTCCTTATCCGTCCATTAGCCTCCAACAGGCCCCACCGCTGTGAAAATAAAGTAACCGCGGCTGATTCTCTGAACTGTCACCCTTCGACCTGGCTGCTTAGCGTGCTGTTTATGTCTCCGGTGTGCCGTTCTCGCTCACTGCAGTTCCTCCACTGGGCTCTCTCCTCACCGACATGTTGCTACCGGACACAAAGCTACGAGAACATACGGGTTTCTGACCGTTTACAACCGCTGCGGCGTGCGTCACAGCTGCGTGCCTACGGTTGGCTCCTCCCAATACGCATGCGCCGCAGAGGAGAGGAAAGGAGCAAAGAGCACAAAGGTCAAGGACAGAGGAAGAAAAGAAGCACGAAATTATATTTCATGAATTTATATATATACTGCTCAAAAAATAAAGGGAACATTTCACTTTAATTTTGTGTGTGGCTCCAAATCCAGGCCTCCATTGGTTAATAAATTTGATTTCCATTGATGATTTTTGTGTCATTTTCTTGTCAGCACATTCAACTTTGTACAGAACAAAGTATTCAATGAGAATATTTCATTCATTCATTCAGATCTAGGATGTGTTATTTGAGTGTTCCCTTTATTTTTTTGAGCAGTATATATATATATATATATATATATATATATATATATATATATACTGAAAAATACTCCAAAATTCAACTTATTTCTGATAGGAAATGAGGCATTTTATTTACATGCAAGTTGTTTTTTGTTGTTGTTGACTTTATTTTTTTTGTTGACTTTACAGGGTCAACAAAAAAAATCCTTCCTTCTCACATTTTGCTACAGCTTCAACTCAGGACTCAGACCTCTAAATGCTGATATGACTTCCAGTTAGAAAAAAACAACTTATTAGGTACCCATGGATATGCACTTCCAAAAGGATATACATGTTCAAAATAAAGTATCCAACTGAAAACCTCTGTTCTGAAGTTTATTGACTTAGTTTTCACTACATTTCTCCTCTTCTTCCCTCTCAGTTTTCTGTCATTGTCACAAGAAAAGGCTTAGACTACGGTAGTTTAGGTAATTTCTGACTGGTCACTGGATAACTGATAACTTGTTCTCTTTATTTTTCTACTACATCATTTATTTCAACTTAACTTTTGTTTTCTGTTGTTTTTCTTTCTATAGAAGCTACACCTGGTCTGGTGTTATGATTGGCTTGGATTCATTCCTGGAGGAGGGCATTGGCTGATGATGCTGACATCATTTTACCAGTCTGCCTCTCCTGCTGTTAAACGTTTTCTTTTCATAAACAGAAATGTGTGGTTATAATAGACATATTTGTCAATAGATTAATTTTTACCTTTTGAATCCAACATAAACATTTTCAATTCAAGAAACCAACAAACTGTTTATTTCTAAATCCATTGTCTCCCCCTAGTGGACTATGGTTTCTTGCTGGTTAGTAATTGAGTTTTGAGTAATCTTGTTCTAGCTGTGGCTTCCCTATTTCTCACATGTACAATTTTTAATACTGGGAATGTAAATACATGGGAGTAAAAAACACCTGGTAGCAGGCCAGCCAGTTGTGGAAAACAAAAGGTCCAGAACAAAAGCTGGAAATCACTAAAGTGCACAAAGACAGATGTTTGAATGGATCTTAAAAGTGCACACACTCCTTGCAAAATTTTCAGGACAAGAACAAAATGAGATTAACTTAAACCTTTTCCACAGATGTTATGACAAAACAAATCAGTTTGTTTTGTTATAAAACAAACTGATAAAATATAAACGTAAAGAATAAAAAATGTGCACAGTCCCAGTTGTCCAAGTGTGTACATAACTAGAAGAAGCTTCTTTAGATGTTATAGCACTCTATCAGCATTGCCCATCCTGACTTTGCAATTTTTGCAAATTTACCACATCCTAGAGATTATGAGGATATCTCTTGTCCAAAGTCTTCTTCAGATTTTTTGTCAGTTCCAGTTCTGGACTCCCATTCCAGAACTCTAACTTTTTATTCCTGCAGATTTTTATCTGGGATGTTTGAAAATCCTCAAAATACTTTTGGAAACAATTTAAAAACTGGTCTGCATATAAGGTTGTGAAATTCCAATACAGATTTTACACTGATTAATGAAAATAATAAATGTTTGTGTTTTTTTATTTTTATTTTTTTTTTTACATATACCATTTTTTATTAAGATGTAAATAAAACAGATGGATGGTTTGAGAGATGTCAGTGTAATTTTCTACCAGAAATAAATTTCTTGGTTGGATGAATTTTATTTGTAAATAATTTGGCTGTGTGACCAGATTTTCACATGTCGTCACTGCTATTCTGACGACGTATCTCTGAGGATGAGCTGCAAGTTTGTTTGTTTTGTTATAAACAAATCACGACATTAATGACTTCACCGGTGTTGTGTTCTTGCTTGTAATACAGTAAACTGTGAGAGAATGGGCAATAACCGGAAGTACGTCCGTTCTGCGTAACGTAACATAACGGTTGTCAGGACGACCTAGTTCTAAAACAGTTTTCTCAATGGTATCGCCTTCAGACCGTAATAACACTTGTCAGTATTTCATATATTTTTGTAATATAGCTCTGTAGAAATGAACTATGTCGAAAATATTCATTAATGTTATATATTAATACTGATTGAACGTTTGAATGTTGACCAGAGATGCTGCTGAGCATACATATTCTGATCTTTGTTGGCATCATAATTCAAACGTTAAACACTGGGTTCAAAAATATTTCTAAAACTCAGGATATGTGGCTTTTTGATGGCTTTATTTCATCGAAGTTACTACAACTTGTTCCCGCCTTCTCCCTATTTTCCCCAAATGGTGCGCCCCGTGACAGAAAACAAGCGCACCCAGAGCACATAAACCCACCCAGATCAGAAGCAGCGGCTACAGGCGGAGAACAACAAACGCAGTGTTATTGAATTACGAAAGAAGCGCAACCACCAGCCATCAATTTACCGTAAGTAAATCTAAGATGTGTTACCCTAATCGTGCTATGTTTGTTTTCATGATTTGCCCCTAATGAGGAAATAAATCGATGCTGTCAGTTTTGTTATGATAAGGACATAATACATGCAGTGGTGGTTACTCAGTGGTACGTCCTTAGCAGTTATTATATGCTGTATTTACCAAACACAGATCTTTCTGTTTGTACTCAGCCAAAGCGTAAAAGAGCAACGAGATTGATCTGCTTCGAGGTAGCCTACTTGAAACTCAGTTATCACATTAAGGCCGTGTATCAAATTAGGCCTAGACTTTCTATGGAGTCCAGTTATTCAGGGTGGCTTAAATATAAAAACACCCCTTCATGTTGTTCAAAATGTTATAAAAAATAGAGCGAGCTATATTTGTTTTGTAATTTCTAATTGCTTTGTTTTACTTCTCTCCTTAAGGCTGTGATGGGGTGGTTATTAAAAATTGGACTTCTGTCCCTGATTATTATGTTTCTGCTGAATTTTGAATCAACTTGTGCTAAAAAGGGCAGTAGCAGCAGCAGTGGAAAGAAATCCACAACGTCCAACCGAGGAAGTGGAACCCAATCAAAGCCATCAAACTCTCAGCCCGGAAACTACCCTGGACAGCAGAGCCCCAATCGCAACACCAATCCATATCCTTCTGGAGGGAATTACCCGTACCCTGGAAGTAAGAATACTAATCCAGGTGGGCATAACAGGCAAAATCCACCAAGTTATCCAGGAGCAGGGAGCAACCCAAATCAGTATCCAGGAGGGAATCCTGCAGGAGGTTACCCTGCAGGAGGATACCCTAATCAACCAGGAAGAGGAAATTATCCAAATCAGAACCCAGCTGCTGGCGGCTACCCAGCTGGTGGATACCCCAACCAAGGCAGAGGAGGGTATCCTAACCA